GTTTGAGGCTGTGGGTTTTGAGTCATAACCTATGTCTGTCTCCTTATAGGTTTGGTCAAAGTTTTTAATGTTCCAACAGTCTCTCCCTTCTATCAGGGCAAATGACACTTTTTTCATAGGGTTGTTTCAAAGATAGTGAGGTCATGTTGGTACAGTAGTTAATGTGGTATCTTTTACATCCTAAAAACTCAATACCTAATGGCTATCTCCACCAGCAGCAAGAACAGACAGTCTCTCAAAATTCTGCCATGGGAATGTTCTTGATCAGTAGTATCCTTATTGTTAAAATGAATTATCCAGATTTGTCTTAGTTACATGATTCAAATTTGTCTGTCAGTATCATTCTAAGTGTTGCTTAGAATTGCTATGTTGGAGAGTCGTCAGAATCACTAATTAGAGGAAGCCTGTTAAAGTTTTTGAATCTCTTGGCATCAGGTGTTCTATTAAATAACATTTGCAAAGTCTTAATAGCTACACATAATGTCGAAATGACTATGTAGTTACCTTTTTGTGATAAGTGCCTTCCGTGGTCTTTTCCTTTCTCAAACACTTGGAACGTCCCACATAAAGCAGGGAATACTGTTTTCTACGTAAACCCTCCCAAGTATTTCATGTTTGGGAGCTAACCTAGTCTTCCTTGGGACATCATGTAGACTTTTTCAGTCTCAAACAGGGTTCCTTTCAAATTCTGATATGAAACATGGCCTGTGAATTTCCTTCGGCACTTATGTTCTAAATAGAAAATAAAAACCACATTCTAGAAAGCACAAGGAAATACCAAAAATAAGATAGTGGGGGAGGCAAAGTTGAAAATACTGCATTTAAAGAGATAATCTGCATACAGTGTTCTCGACAGCCAAATTCTGGGCCTACGGGAGCATGCCTGCCCTGTCAGAGGCAGACAATAGGGTGGGTTACGTGGGAGGATGGCAAGGGAGCAACACATTCATCTGGCATAATCTTGGAAAAGAGTGAACTTCTAACCATTAGTTAAAATGTTGTTTTGCCTCATTTGCTAAAGTCACCAAGAAAGATCCTATTAAAAATTCAATTTGTTTCTTGAGTCTGTCTCTGCATTACATTGACCTAAGTTTAAAGAAAGTTTACTAGTTGGACCCCTGAGACATCCTGAGCTAGCCTAACAGGTGTAAAGGGTCACAGAGAAAGTAGGTGCTGCTTTATGGATGAGTCTCTACTTTTTAATTGTAACACCAGGCCCTTTCTCTTCCAGTGAGTTGCAGCTGGTATTGCATGACAAATCGGACAGGCTAGTCTTGCTATGTGAAGCATGGTCCATGGGCCAGCAGTTCCAGTATCTCCTAAGAGCTTGTTAATAATTTAGAAGCTCAGAGCCATCCTAGACTGGCTGAGTCCGATTCTGCATTTTAATAGGAGCCCTGGGTTATTGTTCGCCTATTAAAGTTTGAGAAGACTGGTCTACAAACGCATGGGCCTGCATGGTACGGAATTGAACTTCTATTCCTAATTCCATCACTGATTTACATTTTGGAAAGATCACTTACTGTTTTTCAAGAATCTCCATTTTTTCTCCTCCATAAAATAAAAATAGTTTTCATCTTCCTTGGCAAAGCCTTGGGAACTAGTTGAGGTAAAGTGCGTTATGTGGTGGAGGGAGTGAAAGTCCTGTTACTTTATGCAAGAAGACTGAGACTCTTGAGAAGAAGGCTAGCAATTGCATTGGAAACACTTGACTGTCAGACAGAATTCATTTCTTCTGCTGGAGAAGACAAGGGAGGCGGAAATGATGAACTTGGCTTCTCTTTCTAGCGTGAGACAGACCAGCGGTCTTTACTGGCAATCTTTTTTTCCTTGCTCCTTCCACAATCTGGTAAAATACGATAATAACCTAGTGCTTCCTAATATGATATTATAATGTAGAAAAATATTTACATAAAAACACGAAAAGGAGATTTTAAAACATTACTTTATGCAGAAGCCCCATAAAGGCACGGGGTTAACACACCAGCACTACCCTCTCTGGAGGGTTTGGGAAGACTCTCATCTGTGCTCTGGGGTCAGGCGTAAGTTGTATTTTGCTGTGTGCTTTTGTTGTCCTATGAATTCTGTTTATCATCTGCTTTCATTGTTATTGGATGTTCATTTTATGGCCCCGTGAAGACCTAAGCACCAGCCGTTAACAGCAGTAAAAATAATGCAAAGCTCCTAGTTGGGTCATGGACATGGTTGGATCACAGGTATGTCCCCTGAGTATTTAGCGATATATTGTACATCTCTCAGATTATGACACAAAAAAACCAATAGGGATATTTTCTTGACTCCTAACATCACCATTTATTATTTTATTGTCCTTATGTTTATGGGCAATTCTGGAATCCTGTTATTAGAGGTCAGACGTATATATAGTTTTTCAGTTTCAGGTTTCCCCTGAGAAGGGATGGATGGCTAGAGGCAAGAACACAGCAAGAACATTTTCCTTTCAGGTTTCCCTCCATTTCCCTAACAGCTTTAACCTTATCTGAGCATACTTGCTCCTTCCCATTATCTCCAGTTTCTAAATGAATTCAAATAGAAAGTGTTTTTTGAACATTATTTGGTCATATTTTAGGTGAATTCTGCATTAATGTTCAGTAATCCCAACAGGTCCACTTTACCTCTGTGTTAATTTCAAAGTTCCACTATTTCTTGGGGGACTGGAAGATCAAGTTACACATGCAACACACACACAAACACACACACATATGCATACACACACACCACACACAACACATACCACACACACATACCTCATACTACATACACCCCACACTACACACACACATAGACACACACACACATAGACACACACACACATTCTGATTAATGCCCCCAATTTAAGTCAGGGAAAGGAATGTGTATGGGGGAGGAAGATGATTTCTGATATTTGTAACAGCTCCATTTTACATTCTTACCAGCAATGTATAAGGGTTCCAATTTCTCCATATCTTTGCCTACACTTACTACTTTAGCCATCCTGGTTGGTGCAAAGTAGTATCTCATTGTGGTTTTGATTTGTATTTATCTAATGACTAATGATGTTGAGCATCTTTTCATGTTGAGAAAAACTCACTTTTGATATGTGTACACAGTCTGAGCCAAAAAGTCTAATTGTGTTCAAATGCAGTTTTGAATATCTCCTCCTTTTTGGAGTCTGCTTTGGTTGAGAGCAAAGGGGTTTACTGACCAGTACTTTAAGTTAGTCATAAAGTTAGTTCAACATCTTCACCCTCTATTTTATGAAAATATATTGGGAACACCCGTGGTAACTTTCTGGCAGTAGAAAAGGAAAAATTAATTATTGCTTAAAGATTTCTATTCTGACTAGAGTAAACTGTAAAGTAAGTCAAGTTTACTTGATTTTGACGCTCTTATATTAATATTGTATGCTTTTCTCTCCCCTTTAGAGAGGTCCATTTTTTTCAGTTCTTCCTAATGCCATACTTTTTAGATGGCCCTCTATCAAGCTTGTTCTCAGGATAAGATGTGAAACACATAGACACTAAAAAGTACATGGTGGAAAAACAAATCTCGCTATGCATCTTTATTAAAATTATTTTCAGGGAATAAAGGAAGAAAGGACCAAAGTTCTGAGTGGGATATTAAAGTGATATCGAGAGATGAAGATTTTTCTTTGGGTAACCTATATCATTTGGGGTCCTTTCAGTTGTATGTGACTGAAATCTACAATGAGAGTAGTTTAACAAAGGCAACATATTGGCTCCCACTAGCTGCAAGGTCTCCAACAGAATCACCAAGATCCATGTTTCAGCTATATGTTGTAGATTGGCTCCATTCTTATGATTCTTGGGGTGATCCCTGGAAGCTTCTAGCTCACATCATCAAATGATCAGGAAAAAAGAGAGATTGGTTCCCTGATACCCCAACCAAAGTCTCAGAACTGAGTCTTCCTGGCCCCAGTTAGCCTGACCTGAGACACATGCTCATCCCTGAATCGATGACTGTAGCCAGCATGGTGGAGCTTCCATTAGCTTAGCCTAGTTCACGTGGTCCCCTCTGGATCCTGTGTGTCACTTCACTGGAAGCATTTGGGCTGAGGCTAGCAAGTTGTGGTTAAGAAGTGGGGGTGGAAATATGTGACAGCATGAGAAATGATCACTATTTCCTCAAAGCCACAAAGATCACATGGGATTCCTTCTCTCAAAGGGCAGTTCTAAGAAGGACATTAAAAACTCATCAGAGGCAATGGTTCTCAAGCTTTAGGTTATGTATTAGTTTGCTAGGGTTTGTTTGTCCCACTGCTGTATTTTAGAAGCAGATAACTTGTTTCACAGGTTTACAGATGGAGAGGAATTTTGCCATAGGATGAATCATTCTCTGAGTCTCACCGATACCACATTTAGATGATATTTGGATTAGATTTTGGATTTAGAATTGATGTTGCAATGGGTTAAGACTCTTGGAGTTGTTGGGATGGGGTGAATGAATTTTACATGAGAGAAGGACATGAATTTGGAGGGAGCTAGATGGTGTATTATTATGGGTTCAATTGTGTCATTCCAAAATTCGCATGTTGAAACCCTAGTTCCGAAGTACCTTAGAATGTGACCTTATTAGAAATGAGGTTGTTGCAGATGTAATTAGTTAAGAGATGTCAGGAAGGTGAGCCCCTAATCCAATACAACTGGTATCCTTATAAAAGAGGGAAATTTGGACACAGAGACATACAAGGAAATCACCCCATGAAGATTGGAGTTCTGCCACAAACCAAGGAACTACCAAAATCTAGGAGAGAGGCCGGGAACAGGTTTTTCCCTAGTGCCTTCAAAGGGAACATAGCCCTGTCCTAACAAAATACCATAAACTAGTGGCTTTGACAACAAAAATTCATTGTCTCACAGTTCTGGAAGTTAGAAGTGTGAGATCAAGGTGTCAGCAGGGCTTGTGTTAGGATCACAGCATCTAATGATCTCAACTTGATTTTAACTGGGTTTATTGTTATTGCTTTTTTCTTATTTTAATAGAAGAAACAAAATTGTCTGAAGATGATGAAATGGAGAAACTCTACAAATCGTTAGAACAAGCTAGTCTCTCTCCTCTTGGGGACCGTCGACCTTCAACCAAAAAGGAGTTGAGAAAATCCTTTGTTAAGCGTTGTAAGAATCCATCCATAAATGAGAAACTTCACAAAATCCGAACCTTGAATAGCACATTGAAGGTAAAAAAATTTCAGATTGTGGATGAACTCTGTAGATGTGGGGCAAGGCTGTTTCTGCAGAGAGATTCATGCTCACTGGTGTGTTTGTATGGGTGGAGGGAGGGCAGTAAAACCAAATATAATCATCTGTAGGGTCAGATGACCTTTGGCATCCTTAAAGCACTGGCTCATTCACACAGTAGCACCCATTGCACTTTCCTACAATAGGCCTTGATTTTTACATTCACTTTGGTATGAAAGTTCAAATGCTAAACTCCTAGACCCTTTACCTAGCACAGTAGATGATAATGAGGGCTTAAGATAGTCAGCTTGTGAGAATAAACAGTAAAAGTAAACAAGATCTTGGAATTTCACCTGAGTCATTAAAGAGTGCCATTCTTCTCCTACTACGTCCAGAAGAAAATCTCTAGATTTCAGATAGAGCCAAGACTTCGTGATTCTCAGCCCCAGGCTCTGGAACCAGGAAACACCATGAGAGATGGGCCATGGGAAGTGTCCCGTAGATTGTAAGGCCAGCAGATGTTTTCACAATGGGAATGGGGGACAGGGTACAAAACGTAGTGAGGCTATTTTCAGGGCCTCCTGAACTAAAATGGTTCTTCATAACAAAAGCAACTTGCTTTCACATGTAGACTGTAGCATGAACAAGAGGGGCCCAGGATACTTTGTAAAATAGTCCCAAATTAGCAGAAGATTTATAGATTCTGAAAAGCCTTGATAGATTCTGCAGTTTAATTTTGATTTGTATATGTTCTTTTGCATCAAGAATTTGAGTCTCTTTCCAGGAAGAAATACCAGCAATCAAAGGACAAGGCTACAAAGAAATGGCTGAGTGACTCTTAGTCAGATGTCCCTGTTAGTCCGTAGAACAGCTAAGCACCCCCAAAAGCCTACAAAAATGAGGCTGAAAAAGAAAAGGCACAGGAGTATTTTAATTATATGAAGAAAACCAACATGTAAAGAAATTCTCCAATGTTGAATGGTGAAACACATCAGTAGCACTCCTGTAAAAGCCAAATATATTATATTCCATGATATGTATGAAGTTGATAAATACGTTTAGTCATTCAATGTAATATACCATAGTATGTTGGGATTTTTCTATCTTATTTGTAATAACTGATATAAGTGAATACATTTTTCATTAGACAAATATTTCCTGAATCTTACTATGTCCCAGACTCTTATTTTTGGGCATTGGGAGCATTGAGTGCACCCCACCGGATGGTGGAAATAGAGAGGAAAACAGAATGCAGTGTGTTGAGAGGTGTAGCTCATACAAACTTGGGTGCTTTGGTAGCCTGGAGGAGGGACATGGCTGCTTGTCTGAGGCCACTGGGGACAAAGTCATGGAAGTGCTGACAACTGGCCCATGAGTAAGAGATGAAGAATATCGGGGTGAGAAGAAAGAACTTTCATGGAGGAGGAACTGGTCTAAGATGAATGTGTCAGGGGAGGATACATTGCAGCCCACGTTGGGAGAAGCAAGGAACAGGATAAGGAGAGGATGGGCAGTTCAGGCCATTTCTAGAAGGAGAAAGATGACTGTTTTAGCTTTCCACAGAATAGCAACTCAAAACTCTATAGACTGTCACAACACCATGCCCTGACCTGGCCACTGGGAGGCCAGGTTTGAACAAAGAATTTTGGTTCTCTGTGACCTCCTGTTCTCCGTGCACTATGGCCATGGAATTTATGAATTCAGCAGCCTTTTGCTTTTCTCCCCATGTGTTAGTTGTCTATTGTGAGGTAACAAAATACCCCCAAAATTAGCAACTACAAACAATGAACACTTGCTCACTGTTTCTGTGGATCAGGCATCTCTTGATGTGGTTTGGCTGGATGCTTCTCCAGGTCTCCCACAGGCTGCAGTCTTGGCATCAGTTGGGCCCACATTCATTTCTCTCCTGGGGAAGGTGTGCTTCCAGGCTCTGTCATTGACTGGTTGGTAGGATTCAGTTCCTTGCAGGTTGTTGGACTGAGGTCCCAGTTTTTCTCCCAGTTCCTTGTCCTGTGGATATACGGTAGCTTCTCCGATGGAAGTTGGCTTTCCTCAGAGTGAGTAACACAGCAACAGGGAGTGAACAAGATGGATCAGACCTGTCTCAGCAGCAACACCACATTACAATTACAATGTTCTATGCATTAGGAGCAAGACACTGGGTCAGCCCACGTTCAAGGAGGGGAATTACATAAAGGCGGGAATGCTGGGGAGCAGGGAGCATCGGGGGCCATTTGGGGGCTGTCGACCACACCCATCTGAAGATCTGCTGTCTCTGTGCATTCCTGGAAAGAAGCCCTCTCCACAGACCCCTTAGAACTCACAAAAGTGTAATGCTGGGCCTGGTGAAACATAATCCATGTTATGTGGTCCTATGAACCTCATCACAAGGTAGGAAGACACACTGATGTGGAAATTGGCCTTCTTGGAAAGATAAAGCACATCAACCTATTCACTGGAGAAAGATAATTTAGTACATGTTTGTTTATTCATGTCAAAAGGCTATAAGAATTATTTTAACTATCTATAATTGAATCAAATTTGATAATAATTATCTTTAAAATTCAGAGTAGTCAGGATAGTGGTTGCCTTTGAGGGGGAGGGAAGAGATTCCTGGGAGGGGCCACAGTACAGCTTCTGAGATGCTGGGTAGGAGTCTCCTCTAACCTCAGTGGGGTTACACAGATGTGTCCATGTTGTTGTAATTCATCAAGCACAAACCTTTTTTTTTTTTTTTTAAAGATTTTATTTATTTATTTGAAAGCGAGAGAATGAGCGAGAGCACATGAGAGGGGGGAGGGTCAGAGGGAGAAGCAGACTCCCGCTGAGCAGGGAGCCCGATGCGGGACTCGATCCAGGGACTCCAGGATCATGACCTGAGCCAAAGGCAGTCGCTTAACCAACTGAGCCACCCAGGCGCCCCGATCTTTAGGAATTTCTGATAATTTGACATCCATTGACTTTTGGCTAAGCCTGTCTTTTTAAAAAAATGAATAATTAAGGGCACCTGGGTGGCTCAGTTGGCTAAGCGTCTGCCTTCAGCTCAGGTCATGGTCCCGGCATCCTGGGATAGAGCCCTAATCAGACTCCTTGCTCAGCGGAGAGCCTGCTTCTCCCTCTCCTGCTCCCCCTGCTTGTGCGTGCTCTATCACCCTCTCTCTCTCTGTCAAATAAATAGATAAAATCTTTAAAAAATAATAAAATGAGTAATTAATGGATCCAACTGAAACTTGCTCTCAGGGTTATTCTGGTCTGTGTTAAAAGAGGAACGAACCCTCCTTTCCCCAACTTCTGTGGTAGAACACGTTTTTGAGTCAAGTCATGTACTATTTGGAGTGAAAAAGGAGAGTAGAGCATTGTCTCTCTCATGCTATTTTCTGGAGGCCCTGCCAAACCTTGCCTAACAGAAGGCAAGGGGGATGTTGTAAATGTAGTTCAAAGCATCCAGTGAGCCTCCTGTACCACAAGGGAGAGGCAGGGTCCATGCGCCATGCTGCTGGCTGGGATGCTGCTCTGCTTAGCACTACAGACCCTTCTGTTGTTTCATTAATTTCCTTCCTCTCTAGTCTTCTCTATAGTTATTTCTTTTATCCATAAAACACAGGCTTGAGCTAAATGGTAAGAAATTTGAATTGTTTAGTTTAGAATATGTTTAACCATATGAAAAGTGTTAGCCCAAAGTTGAAGAGAACTTTTCCTAAAATCTTTGATCAGATTTAGAGGGGTAGTTAATTCATTTTGCCTTAAGAAAATCGGTTCTTTAAATTTTGTTTATCTGCAAAGATCTTATTTAATACTTTCTTTATTTTATTTTTTTTTAAGATTTTTTTTATTTATTTGACACAGAGAGATACAGTGAGAGAGGGAACATAAGCAGGGGGAGCGGGAGAGGGAGAAGCAGGCTTCCCGCCAAGCAAGGGAGCCCGATGCGGGGCTTGATCCTAGGACCCTGAGATCATGACCTGAGCTGAAGGCAGATGCTTAACGACTGAGCCACCCAGGCACCCCCTTATTTAATACTTTCAATAAAATATTAGGATGTCTCTCTGAAGCAGGTGTCAAAAATTTTTTTGTGTGGAATAAATTATAGTTTTTAATAATTTAAAAAATATTTATTTGAGAGAGAGCAGAAAGCACAAGGGGGGTGGGGGGAGAGAGGCAGAGGGGGAGGGAGAAGCAGGCTCCCTGCTGAGCAGGGAGCCCGATGGGGGGGGCTCAGTCCCAGGACCCTGAGATCATGCAGGCAGACCCTTAACCGACTAAGCCACCCAGGCGCCCCTTAATAATTTTTATTAAGTTTTTAATTTTCATTCCAGTATAATTAACATACAGTGTTATATTAGTTTCAGGTGTATAATATAGTGATTCAACACTTCCATACATTACTCAGTGCTCATCATGATACGTGTGCTCTTTATCCCCTCACCTGTTTCATCCCAGATGTCAAAATTTCTTAAGAACAAAGTAAAACTCCTTAAACAACTTCATATGAATAGCACTATGGTGATATCAAAGGATGAAAGCTTATTTTGGGGGGAAAAGATTGTTATTTGAAGTGCAGATGTTGAGAACTCAAAGAGAAGAAAGAAAATTCTCTTGGCCTTGCTTGATTTTCTACAAGCAATCTTTTCTAGTTACCCACTTACTTAACCTGCCTTCCTTCTGCTTCTGGTTCTTGATCAACCTGCTTGTTATCACTCTTTGGCTACTTTCACACTGCACATTTTTTCTTTCCTTCCTGGAATCCAAATACATATTTTAACCTCCATCTATCACCATATTCTTGTTCTCTTGATTCAAAATTGTAAATCTTACCACTACATACTATGTGTATGTAGTAAAAAAAAAAAAAGTAAAATAAGTAGAAAAAAAGAAAGAAAAGAAAAAAGAAAATGTAATAAAATGCCTCAAGTAAAACATAAGTTAAAGCTAATTGTAAAGAACAAATAGTACATTTCTTTGTGCCAATGTTTGTGATCATCTAAGACCAGATCCCTCATTTGGGTAGAATAAATGCTACCAATTCTAGAATCCCTAAAACTATATACAAATGTATAGATATAAATATCTATCTGTATATTTATGTATAAACAAATGTGACATATTTAATAAATAATATGTATATAAAACACACATACATATAAACCTTTTTCTGGTTTGTGGAAAGGATTTCTTCAGGCTTTAAATAGGATTCATGATATAAAAGAGATTTAAAAACAATCATAATTGTTCATTCACATTTTATTTCATATATTCATTTTTAAAAAAGATTTTATTTATTTATTTGACACGGAGAGAGAGAGCACAAGCAGGGGAAGTAGCAGGCAGAGGGAGAGGGAGAAGCAGGCTTCTCGCTGAGCAGGGAATGCAATGCGGGGCTCCATCCCAGGACCTTGAGATCATGACCTGAGCTGAAGGCAGTTGCTTAATGACTGAGCCACCCAGGCGCCCCATCATATATTCACTTTTTTCCAACAAATATTTAGTGAATGTCTAGCATATCACGTGGGGATAATAGCAGTGGGCGTATCAGACAAAAATGCCTGCCGTTAAGAAGCTTACATTTAGGTACAAGAAGAAATTAACTAACTAACTAACTAACTAACTAACTAACTAACTAACCAACTAACTAAATTTTATAGTATGCTAAGTGATGATAGATTTGATAGGGAATAGAAGGAGGATGAGGAATGCTGATGGATTGATTTTTAACTAGGAGAGGCATGAAAAGGCTCTTTGAAAGGTAGAATTTGAGTAAAATCTGAGAAAGGAAGGGAGGTGAGTCTTGAGGTGTTCCAAGGCAGAATGTTACAGGCAGAAAGAACAAAATTGCAAGTGCCTTGGGGTGGGAATATGCCTAGTAGGCTTAAGGAAGAGCAAGGAGGTCGTGTGGCTGGAGTGTTGCAGGAGAATGGGGCACGGGGAGAATAGCAGTGGGTCAGAGGGCAATGAGAGATTATAACATAAGGTGCCTTATTGCCATTGCTAATACTTTAGCTTCTACCCAGTGAGATAGGAAGCCTTTGGAAGGTTCTGAACAGAAGTGTGCCATAGTTTGACGTATTTTGAAGGTAGAACTTGGGATTTGCTGGTGCATTGGCAGTGAGAGCAGGAGTCAAGTATGACACTCCAGTGTTTGGCCTGAGCTGCTGGAAAGGTGGAGTTGCCATTAGGTGCTTTGCAAAAGGCCATGATAGGAAAAGGTTTCAGTGTGTATTAGAATTTGTAGTGGGTGAGGCATGCAGAGAATAATAGGAACTTAGTTCTGAAGATTTTTTTTATCTGAGAGGGAGAAAGAGACAGGGCCTGTGCCCGTGTGGGGGCGTGGGGCAGATGGGGAGGGAGAGTGAGAGAGAATCTGGAGCAGACAAACCCTGCACTGAGAAGGGAACCCCATGCAGAGCTCGATCCCATGACCTGAGATCATGACCTGAGCCAAAATCAAAAGTCGATAGCTTAACTGACTGAGCCATCCAGGTGCCCCCAATAGGAGCTTAGTTTTGGGCATGTTATATTGAGATGCCTAGTATGTGTCCAGGTGGAGCTGCTAAAGAGGAAGTTTAGACAAGCAAGTATGAAGTTCAGGGGAGAGATAAGGCTTGCAATATAAATTTGTGACCTGTAGTATATAGGGAGATTGGGAGACATGAGATTACATGAAATTAGCAAGAACATGGATATACATAGAAGAGAGAAGAGGCTAAAGGCTGGGTTCTGGAGATCTCCAATGTTAAGCGATTGGGCCAGAATGAGGAATCAACAATGGAGATTAAGAGTAAGTGGCCATTCTAGGATGAGAAAAATCAAGAAAATGTGCCACAGAAATGACATGATGAAAGTGTTCAAGAAGGAGTAGTCAACAGTTTTAGATGCTGTTGATAAATAAGGTGAAGACAAATAGTTATTGGATTCAGCAACATGGAGGTCATCGATGGCCTTAACAAGAGCAGTTTTGGTTGAATCTTGGTGGGAGTGGGTCTGTGAGAGAATGGGCATGGTGGGGGGTGGGGAGGAACATTGGAGACAAGGAGAAAAGTGGAGCATTCCCTGGAGCAGAGATTTGGGGTTTAGAGAGGGCTTTGAAGATGGGAGAGGTGACAGCACATATAATGATCAAATGGAGGTGGGACATTAATGAGTCACAGAAAAGAGGGAAGTATTGTGGGAGTGAATTTCTTGAGTATGAGAGAGTGGGTGATAATGCACAAATGGAGAGATTGTCCTTTGCTGGGAGCACAGAGATTTCATCCAAAAAAACAGGAAGGAAGACTGGGATATATCTGTGTTGATGTAGGTAGTGGGCAATAAGAACTTGGGAGAAGTGTTCTCTGATTGTTTCCATTTCCTCAAAAAAAAAAAAAATTAGAGCGCAAACTCATCAGCTCTAAGGGAGGATGGGCACGGAGGTTTGAGTAGAGATGAAAAATTTTGAAATAGTAATTTGGGAGATTGGGAGAGAAGAGAGGTGGGAAAATATGACTACTGGGTGGTAGCAAAGCCACTTAATGGCAGTGGTCATGAATTTGAACTGCAACCAGTGAGCCTGGTTGTGAATTTTTAGCTACACACATGCTGGCCTGGGGACAGACTGAAAGATTGGTTTAGTAATAAACGTGTATTGAATGTCTCCCTGGCACGCGGCCTTGTGTTAGGTGTAAGGAATACAGGGATGAATAAAATGTTTTCTGTCACCTTCCTTAAGAAGCTTTAGAATTGTGGGCATGACAGATCCATTAACATTGAAGTATAACATGGTAAGTTCTAAGCATTGGAAAGCATGAGAGCATAAAAAAAGGCTTCTCAGTGCAGTTGAGGGGTTCAGAGATTTTCTGGAGAACATGATGCCTGAAATGAGTATAGATTTATGAGGTATAGTAAAATCCGGTAAAGAAAGATTGGCAAGTGTTCCATGTGAAAGTAACACTGGGAGGTAGATTTCACCAGAAAAAGATACGGAAGGTCTTCCATGTGGCACAGTATCACAGTGTGTGAACTGATGTTATGTAGGGGGAAATGCACACCACCACTGTTTGAGCAGGAAGTGAGAAGGAAGTGGAGGTCAGCAGGTGGAGCTCAAATCCATACAACCTCGGACATGAAGGGGAGCCATTATGAGGACTCGGGCTTTTAGGTGATGCCCTGCACTGCCTTGCGGATGGCGGATTTAAAGTGAGGATTGGAGGCAGGGACACATCAAGTGTGATGAACTGCACTTCATACCCCAAGTTAGGATTGCGGTCAGAGGGATGGAAGAAACAATAGATTTGAGAGAAAATTGTCAGGACTGAATGACCTTTCTTGAATGTGGAGGCTGTTAACACCTCATTTTTAGCCCATTCCTTGACTACAGAACATTCCCCTAACCTGAGCCAGACATTTCAGAAATGTGTGTTATTGGTTATGGAGGACGCAGGGTAAAATAATATGAATAGATCTGTTTGCTCATTTAGCATCATTGGAACACATACTGTTTTGATGGAAGGTTAGTAGTCTTTGAATAAAAAGATAGCCTATATATTTATTCGGTATATGTTAATTAAATACATGTGTGTGAGTTATTAAAACAGGACAATTTAATAAAATAAAAATATATTTTGTATTATCTGATGTCTTAGGGAGAGTACTATGTTTCAATTTTACTTAGTGAAGTTTGGGTGGTCAATGAAATGATGATACAATTATAAGTTTTAGAAGTAATAAGGCTCACCCTGAGATAGAAATATTACTGAGGTGTGGAATAAGGATTGATCAGGGAAGAGCCACATGGAAGAACCTGGCTATATGTCTAGTTCTCCACCAGCCTTTGTGTAGGATACTTACCTTCTATTTGGCAAATATATGCAAATGGGTGTCCTGCCATATCTCTTAGGCTTGGTTAGGGATTAGAATATTAGTGTGTAAAAACACTTTGCTAATTTTATGATGAATGTATATGTGCATTCGTAAAAGCGCCGAAGAGGGTTTATTGAAATTAAGGTACTCACTATATCTCACCTCCTTCCCCCACCTTTTCTTTTTTCCTACTGGGGCAGTGTAAAGAACACGACCTGGCCATGATTAACCAGTTGCTGGATGATCCGAAGCTGACAGCCAGGAAATACAGGGAGTGGAAGGTGATGAACACCCTGCTGATCCAGGATATCTATCAGCAGCAGCGGGCCCCCACGTCTGCCCATGAAGGCACTCCCGAGGGAGTCGAGAAACCACCTTCCTCTGCCTGTGTTGAAAATTCTATTTGAGAACAAGCCAGCATTCTCTCCCCGATCTCTTACCCCAAGTGACTCTTCAAGAGGTTGCAAGAGCTTTCCTTCAAAGGAAAACTGAAACCAGTTCCTTAAGCATTGCCTCTCTCTCCAAAGATGCAGCTGAGGTGAGGACCCACTCTGATGGCAGCAGGACTCCTCATTCTGGCTGAAGTGCTTTCATTGAGACTCGAGGAATTGAGTTCAGTTGAACAAACACCGTGTTCCTACTCGGAGCTCTCGGTTATGCTAGGCTTTAAGTGGGATGTGAGAAGTGTATGTTCTTTGCTCTCAGAGAACCACGGTGTTCTACGGACAAAGATCACATTTTACCAGGGATAATTATTCATAGAAATGTTCGTTTTCCAAAAGAAGAATGTACATATTCCCCTGGGTTGGGTAGTTGAATTCTTCAAATCATTTCTTGGAGTGGAGGAACATGTTTTACAACAGAAACTGGAATGGGACAAATGTGGTTTTGTGGAACCCAAATCTCTTGCCTTTGGTCTGGAATGGTGGTGCCTTTTCCATGAGCTGAGAAATACTTCATGGTGATTGGTGTGTGGGAGAGCCCAAGGGGGAGGCATGTTCTATTGAACACCCTCTCAAAGGACAGCTTGATGTTTCCACACTTGACCCCGGGGCAGGGCGGGGGGAGGGTGAGGGATCTGATTAAAGTTTCCTTTCCACAGAACAGCTAAAGAAATCTATCTTATTACTCGTAGAGACCTCTACTCCCTCCTCGCTTTTCTAAACCACTGCAGGAGATAGAAATAAGTCCAGCAAGGAATGTTTGCTGCTTTGTCCCTGGGAGTGGTGCCTATATCCAGTGTCAACTTACATCCTGTCTCCCCGGGATCAAGATTGACAAGATAATTCTGGTGTCTGAATGGGTTTGATATCTTTACTCCAAAAAAACCCAACAAAAACAACAAAAGAGTTAAAATATGATTGTTTTATTTTTGTATGTTTGTGTCACTTTGTGTCCTATGTGAAGAGCTATCTATAATATGTTTGTTATTTAAGTATATTTATAGAAGGTCAAATTACTAGTGTTTTAAAAGATGGTAAAGTAATTACATGTTTTGCTCAATATATATTCTCCAAGTATATACTTTTTTGCTTGAGAAAATAGGAGTACTGTTGATTCACTGGAGTTATTATGTTGCACTATAATGTATGAGGAATGCTCAGGATATCTTGTGGGATAAATGTGGAGGCATGCACTATTAATTGTTCACTTTCTGGCTTCTCTTTTTCTTTCTCCCTCTCTCTTTCTCTGCCTCTTTCTCAACCCAGAGTGCTCAGAATTCTGTCACTCTCTTAACCAGAAAAGGACTTTCACCTTAGGTTATTTCTTCTAGTAAATAAACTTTTTAAGCTTCCTGCCATTTATGCCCACAAACCCTAAACCAAATGAAACACAACTAATATAGTCTTTTGTCTAAGGTCTAATAGAAATTTTGGGGTCTGCTGTTAAAGAGAACTCATTTTATTAGAGACATAATATGAAAATCTTCCCTTACTAATCACCATGAATATTTTTCATCCTACGAATAACCACAACCCACCAAAAACCCATTTTGCCCTTACCCCTAGCTAATTGTCAGCCCAATATGGTGTGTTTCAGAGCGTTAACATATGGCTTGACATTCAAATGGAAATAACCCTCCGAATTTTATTTGCAGACCAAATGGAAAGAGCCCTTGAAGGTTTCCCCACGCTTTACTCAGAAGTGTTAATACTTTGTAAACAAAAACAACCTCAGTGTTAAGAAAGAAAAACAACAGGAAACAAGTCAGAGTACTAGAAGCTTATGTAAAATAAGAAGGCATGCCTAGCCAATCTTTAGGAGCACCTGCTCCTAGTGCTGGGGGAAGGATCCAGGCTACATAGGAGCTTGGGGTGGGGGGGCGGCGGTCCTGGCTTGCGGTGAATTTACTGTTGGCTCGGGCGGCGCTGGAGAGAAGTAACCATGTAGGACCTCAGATGAGACCCTGAAATTCCTGTTTGGAGAGGCTAGTGCTTTCATCTCTTTTCTTTGGGAGTTATTGATTACTTCTACAATTAGTAGCTGTTAGAAGGTTCATTGTTTAGGAGTCACGATGTGAAGAAAATGTTGAGGGAAGGAGAATTGCTAGTGGAGGAGATAATCGTTGGGCACAGTTCTCTTCCACCTTCTTTCCCTTGGCTGGAGATACCAACCTAGAAACTTCAAAACAGTCTTTAAATTGAAGTGCTCAGAAGCTTTTGGCCAGGCTTGGGAACACGTGTCAGTGCTTTGCTTGGGCTTCTCATTAAGGCACACATAACTGACCACTGAGTGTAAATTCCTTTAGGAGAGCTCAAACTTAAAGGCAAAATGGGTCCATGAGATTATTGAATCGAGCCTTTCAGTTACTTTTCAAAGTTGTCAGTCTAGAAGCTCTGCCTCTGTGAAAACACTTACTCCCCAGATGAAAGTCAGACCTAACTGCCCAGTCTTGCACCCCCTCTTCTAGACCAAGCTTGCCTGCTTGTCAGGGTTTTCCCTTCTGTAAATGCTTTCCCTCTGCATTACCTTGTGTTAGCAAGTAGGGGGCTGCCTCTGTGAGGTCCCAGCTTCAGCTGTGGCCACTGAGAGGAAGTGGGGGTGGGGGGCAGTAGGAAATGATAGGCAGAGTGGGTGACACTTTCCATTCTACTCAATTTAGGAATAACCCTGCCATTTTTCTGGTGCAAAGGATATTGGGAAAACTGGATTACTTCCAGTTTATTCCTGGGAATGGGGGCATCTCTGAAATGGATTTCGGGTAGTTTCATGGGGTCTAAGGGGTGATTCTTTTACCCACTCCTGTAGACATAGGGTCTGAGGGCTGTGGAATGACCCAGAACCACGGCTGCTCAGGAAGCGGAGGATCTGAGCATAATCAAGTCCAACCCTCTGGCACTGGCTGTGGATTAGGATCCGGCTGGGACTCGTCTTTGGGGTTGCAGGGAGGACCCCTTCTCTCTGGTTAGCGTGTAGACCCAGACTAGTGCCTGATAGGATACTTCTGTGGCTGGCACATTGCGGCACACGCCGAAATGAATGGTCCCACACTTGACAGGCATATACTGCTTTTAATAATTCTTAGTTCTGGCACAATCTTAGCATAGCATCAAAGACCCGGGAAGAATCATAACGTATACCATGGCAAAGACTCCAGGAAGCCTAAGAGAGATTGTGTTTGCAGTCAGATTTCAATGTGAAACCCAAGCCTTGTATTTATGTAGCACTTTGTAGTTTGCAGATCTGTGTGTTCAGGCTCCCCCGTTCCCTCCCCAGTGGTTTTTGCAGGGATGATGGTGGATTCTCCTTCCTCCTTTTTCACTGGGGAGGAAATAAGCTCCTCTTGCCCCTCTCTCTCTCCCCTTTACCTTGTGCAGTCACTGTTGGCCCCCAGCCCTGTGAGGTGCGGGGTGTGTGCATTCACTGGACCGGGCACACCTGTGGGGTTTTTTGTGAAGTCAGCCACTGGAAACCTGAGGGGGCCTCTTCTTCTCCTCAGGGCTGAAGAGTGACTGTCCCTCCTGCGGCCATTGGTTCCTGGGTTGACTGGATTGCGGTGTGACCTAGTCACTCTGCTTTCTTTCCTTCCTTCTTGAAATTTCACTGCTTGTTTTAGGTGCTGTGAAATCCTAGGAGGAAAGAGGCAGTTAAAGAAATGGAATTCATTTATTTTCTTTTAAAGGCATGTCAGGAGATGTCAGAGAGCCTAGGGACTAGGAGTTAGGCCCTCCCTCTTCCTCTCCCAATTTCTTCTCCTTGTAATTATGTAGCTTCCTCAGATAGACTTAAAATGATGAACAATATCATAGAATTGAAACAGATAAAAAGAAAATACACATTAAGTCTTTTGAGGAGAGGTACTAGACAAATTCCAGCCATATGTAAACTCATGGATACAGACCTCTTTTAAGATACTCTCCTTGAAAGATAATATTTTGATATATAGCCGCACGGAAGATTTAAGTGAGGAATTTAGGTACAGAGGATGCCTATCCCAAACAAGCCAATATAATAAAAATAACCAATAACTTTTGGTTAGTTTTAGAAGACCTCTCTTTTTCAGTCTAATAAAATATATTTGAGATTTCCCAGTTTATTTCCTTCTAATTTTTTTGTGTGCTTACCTCACAAGAGAAATCGAGTCCTAGAAATGTCACGTGACTGCCCTGCTAGGGTTTTGTAATGTGTAATTAAAAAGGAAAGCCCCTGAAACTAGATTTTAACAACCCATATGAAATGAGTGAAGGCAGAGGAATAATTTTAACCTTCACAGAAAGCCGCCTCTCTCTGTAAACAAGATGCCGAACAGCTCCATGTTTTTTCTACATTGTGAGACAGGAAGCGATTTCCTTGCTTCCTCTGCACGTTTTTCCTCTTCCCCATACTACCACAGACCACAGAAAACATGAAAAATAGTTCTACATTTCAAATGTTCTTCCATATCTCTTCCCGTGAGACTTAATGGCTCTATATTGATATTTCTTTATGTTGAGTCCAAAGGGGAAGCATGCTCCGTGGAGACATTTAGCATCCCATAATAAACACCAGGAGTTGTAATCACCATAGACTTTCATGTCCTTGCATGATGGGGATGTGACTTTTAGCACTGCATGGTGTTTGGGGCAAGATGACAATGTGGAAATTATCTCTTCAATCTCATTGTGCTTTCACTCTCTGTCACCTATCCTCTTTGAACTGGAAAAAGAGGCATGGCTCATTTCTTCTGCTTTATGTTTTTTAGATTGACTTGTAAGATACAAATAAAAACAAGAGAAAATATATCTAGTAAAATGACATGAAAAAAATGGAAATATACTACTGGTATTTGTTTTCTGCCCTGCTGTGTTCCTTCTTCCAAGAACAGACTCGCTGGGAAGGGTTTGATGGCTGGGCTTTTGTCTTCTACAAAGGTTGTGGTGCCCTCTGGTGGCCATCGTAAGAATAACTGACTCGATGATTTTATTTTTAAATGCAGCCTTTAATTATGTTGGGAAATCTATCTCAATAATAACTGATGTGCTCTTCTCCAGTGGTCCTCAGCTTACAGGCTTGTTAGGAAAAAGATATACTTTTCAAAATTGTTGGTCCACAAAACTTGACTTGCACATTGCATACCCCTTATCATTACGAGACACCCACCTTTTGTTTAGAGAATTTAAAAATTTTGCAGATCATAAAAATTAAGACCTGTGGCACATATGTTCCTTAAAATGCATAAGCTGTTTCTGTGTGAAAAATAAACAGAGAAAATATTGAAATAGCATAATAAATTGCTTTATTTTGGACCACTGATGGGAAGAAGTTAGACTGCATTTTTTTTTTTTTTTTTTTTTTTAAGAGAGAGACACAGGGAGAGAGGGAACACAAACGGGGAGTGGGAGAGGGAGAAGCAGGCTTCCCACTGAGCTGGGAGCCCGATGTGGGGCTCGACCCCAGGACCCTGGGATCATGACCTGAGCCCAAGGTAGACGCCTGACGACTGAGCCACCCAGGAGCCCCAGCCTGCTTTTGAACTTGATTCACAAATCCTTGATTGCTGTCTACACAAACAAATAAGGGTTTTGTTTTTTTTTTCTCACTCTCTCTCAGTTATCGCTTCACATGTTGAGCCCTCCCCTCTTTTTTCCCTCCATCCAGCTCCCACACAGAAGCAGGAAACATTATTCTAGACCAAAGGGATCAGCAAAAGGCATACGTACAGTGTGTTCCTGATTTCTAAATAACCTTGTATTAGTTTTCTACTGCTGCTGTAACAAGTTACTACAAATTTAGCAGCTTCGAAGAATGTGTTTTCTTATAGTTCTGGAGGTCGGAAGTCTGACAATGTCTTTCTTGGGCTAAAATCAAGGTGTTGGCAGGATTATGTTCCTTCTGGAGGCTCCAGGGGAGAATACATTTCCTTCCCTCTCCAGGTCACCCATATTCTTTGCTTCTTGGCTCCCTTCCTCGGTCTTCAAAATCGGCAATATTGTATCTCTGTGTACCCTTCTTTCCAGCCACACCTTCTTTCAAGGACTCTGGTCATTACATTGGGCCCATTTGATTAATCCAGGACACTCTCTGTTTTTATGTCAGCTAATTAGCAACCTGACTTCAACCCGCAACTTTAATTCCCCCTTGCCCTTAATGGCCCTTTGTGGCATGTACACAGTTTCCAGTGATTAGGAGATGGATGTTGTTCTGCCTAGTGCAAACCTCCATTTCGAATATCTTTTTTTTTTTTAAAGATTTTATTTATTACGTCGTCCCCCCGAACCATCAATTTCTCCGAGAAATTCTAGGATTTCCAAGTTTTAACCCCAAGCATGAAAGTTCTTTGTCTTACTCTGTGACTTGAATTTGATTTCGTCAAAATATGTTCATCATAAGAAAGGTAATTCCATCTTTCTGAGAAAACGAAGTCTTAGCACATGTACACAGGTGTAACAAGTATATTATTTTAATAATCAGATCAGGTTTTAATAATCCTGCATTTAAAGACAAAGCCTTACAAAGTCACTTTCAAGGATCAAGTATCATAAAGCAAAGGATGATTTAGGATTCATATTCTTAGGTTTGTGAGCTGCCCTGTGCCGTGTCAGACTGACCGAGGGTGTGGCCAGGTCACAGGATAAAGAAACTCTTGTGAGTGTGGGTTGATGTTCCAATGTACTGATAAGCATAGAATTTTCAGACGTGCTGGCCTTTGTAAATCTGAACATTATCTTTTCTCTTAAACAAACAAACAAACTTGTATTTGTAGGTAATTCCATGATGCTGGTTAGTGTTTCTAGCCACATTTTTTAGGAAGTCATAAACACTCTACCAACACTGAAGTCTATACACAGTGTGTCTTGGCAGTTCTGTCCAGAGCAGGATATGTAGGGAAGGGACAAAATTCCCAGGCAAACAGGGTGCCTGGATGGTTAGCTAGTTATTATCCTAGTGCCCAAAGCTATTGTTATGGACGCCGTGGATGCCTTCCCAGAACCCTTCACCTGGCCAGAGCTTTCATTCCCCAGTTACTGTGAGGTTTTGTAGCTAACAGCATCCTTCATTTCCAGAAAACTGTCCTCAGCTAAATGAGAGAAGCCAGGAGGTTCTGTTCCCCATCCCCAACCAGGGTGCCCATGACCAGTGACTAGTTGAGGTCAGATGGCAACACTTTGCAGTTATCAGCAAGGTAGTCAGAATTACTGTAATGGGAAGCAAGTTCAGAGTGATAGCCTGGGACTGGTGCTGACAGTAAGCATCTTTGAAGATTATTAACAGAAAATAGTTTTCCTAGAGACAAGATATATGGGATGTCAACAATAGACATTACATATATTTTCAAGGGAAATTGGATACAGGGTATAACTTGTTGCTGATTCCCAGGAACCACCCCCAAATATTATGGCACTATGTTAGAGTAGGGTAGGGACATATACAAGTCAAGGTATAAATGGCCCATACCCATTGGTTTCTGAATGTATAATTGGAATGGCAATACTTAGTGGCTGGAAGAACTCTCATGTTGGTTCTTTGACCAGTAATAGCTATTGTACTAAGAGAGGCCAAATAAAAGTCCAAGAAGCTACCTCCTTTAGGAAAAATAGTAAATAAAAATCAATATCGCATCCAAGGGGAATGACAGAGATTAGTGCCACCCTAAAAGACTTTAAGAATATAAGAGTAGTGGTCCCAACTCATACCAATTTTCCAGTTTGACTCCTGACAAACCAAGATGATCATGACAAATTACAGTGGAGTCTTGCAAACTTAACCAAAATATAACCACAATTGTAGCTGCTATGTTGGACATGGTGTCTTTACTAGAGCAGATTACAACCTCAAGTACATGGGCTTTGGCTAGGTAAGTGCTTTCTTTTCAATATTCATCATGAAGGAGGATCAGAGGCATTTCACATTTATATGTGATGGATGACCATACACATTTATGGTCTTGCCCCAAGTCTATATTAATTCTGCTGCTATGTGTCACAAAATAGAAGTTGAGGCATTTTCCTCCTTTATCTGACAATGAACCATTTAAACAAGACATCACATCAGTCCACTATATTGATAATATCATGTAATAAACAATGAGAACTTGATGAACAAGAAGTGGCAAGTGCACTGGAGGCTGTGATTAGACACAAGAACACCAGAGAGTGAGAGATAAACCTACAAAGATTCAAGGGCCTGCCAAATATGTGAAAGATTTAGGGGTCCAATGGCCTGGGAAGAGCTAGGACAGCTTATTCAAAGTAGAGGACTAGTTACTGTATCTTGTACTTCTACCAGTAAGAAAGAAGCATTGTGCCTGGTGGGCCTGTTGCAGTTTTTAAGGACTCAGCAGATCCCATGGTAATAGAGATATATACAGTACAGAAAGAAATAAAGTGGAATCTGACAATCTCCAATCTGAGAGTCATTGGACCAAGCCCATGCCATTTACAACAGAGAAAGAGTCACTATTTAAAAAATAGCTCCTGGACATAGCTCTGGTAGATACTGACTATGGTAGAGTCTAACCATGGAGTATCAGCTAACTCTGCAGCCAGAAGTAAACATTAAGAGATGGGTACTAATAGACACCACTAATAGTGGTGCAGAAGTAATTCATTGTGAAATGGAAGTGGCACATCCAAGACTGGGCTTAAGCAGCTCCAGAGAGCGTTGAAAATACCATGAACAAGTGACACCTAAGCCACTTCCCACTATTGCATCATTACCTCTCATTCAGTTCACACATTTGACCTCATGGGGGAGTTCTCTGTCAGATAGAGGAGGAAAATGCCTGCACTTAGGTCACTACTGGGTTGGGTTGATCTGTGAATTCAAACCAGAAATGACTGTTACTGCTCCATAGCTTCACCTATGGGCGACTCTACAAGCCACTGGTGAGTGGAAAACCTCTCAGGAGTCTGAGCTTCCAGCAATGCACCCCATGTCATCCACTTTGTGTGGAGAGAGCTGTGGCCCAAGGAACATCAAGGACAAAGACATCTAGGGGAGAGACTTGAGAATCTACCCATAAGAGTGGGCATAATATGTGAAGATCTGATCTTTGCATGAAATGTTAATACTCATCAAAAAGCATCCATTTCAGAAGAAGCACTAAGCAACCAAGTGGACAGCATGAGTCAGCCAACTGATGTCTACTAGCCTCTGTCATTGACCACTCTAGGGCTTGTGCAATGAGCTCACAAACAGAGAAACCATGGTGACAGAGATGGAGGCTACCCATGGGCCCCAGACCATGCATTTTGTCATCAAGCTGAAAGCTACTTCTGCTGAACATCTAGCCCACTAGTAACAAAAACCAATGCTGAGTCCCAAGAAGGTACCATGATTTGAGGAAACCAAGCAGATACTTGTTGGCAAGTTGATTAAATTTGACCTCCTCCACCTGGAAAAAGGCAGTGTTTCACTCTAACTAGGATTGACGAGTATCCACAAAGGGATTTGCCTTTCTATAGTTCCTCAGCCAACACTACCATTCAAGGGCTCGTGGAATGTCTAATCTATGTGTGGGGTCCCACATAACATCACTGTTGTGGACTGAATGTTGGTGCCCCTTCACGATATGTTGAAATCTAATCCCCAACGTGGTGATACAAGGAGGTGGCATCTTTGGGAGGTAATTAAGTCATGAAGATGGATAGCACTCATGAGTGAGATTAGTGCTCTTCTAAGAAGAGTCCAGAGGGATAGCTCACTCTCTTTTCACTCTGTGATGATGAAACAAGAAGTTAGGAGTCTGTAGCCAGGAAGAGGGCTCTCACCTGAACCCATGCTCAATCCCTGAGCTCTAACTTTCAGCATCCAGAGCTGTGGGAAATTTCTGTTGTTTGTAAGCCTCCCAGTTTATGGCCTTTTGTTAGAAACCAATTTTGGCAGTACATATATTTACAATTTTTATATCCTCTTGATGGATTGACCCTTTATCAATATATACTGATGTTTGTCTCTTTTGACAGTTTTTAACTTAAAATCTATTTTGTCTGATATAAATATAGCCACCCATGCTTTCTTTTGGTTACCATTTGTGTGGAATATCTTTTTTCATCCCTTCACTTCCAACTGTGTAGCTAAAGCTATATCCTTAGAGCCAAAGTGAGTCTCTTGTAGATATCATAATTTGGATCCAATTTTTTCCCACTAGCTACTCTGTCTTTAGACTGGACAATTTAATCCATTTATATTTATAGTAATGATAAGTAAGCAAACTGGGAAATAGTCTCTTCTATTTTCTGAAAGAGATTGTGTAGAATTGTTGTTAATTATTCCTTAAAAGTTTGGTAGAATTCTTTAGTGAAACTATCTGG